GTGGCAACACAAACATTGCCACCTCCCCTGGTGGTGTCAGAGAAGGTTATATTGTGAGTCAGACCTTTCATTCTGCCTAAGGTAGAGAGGTAAGGAGGCTCTTCCATCTGACAGTGTCAGTGGAGACCACGTGGGAAAACAGTAAAAAGGTGCCTCCTCTCAGCCAGGATAGTGTCATGGAAGCCTAGTGGGATCCTGAACTTTCACCCTAATCCGGCAGTGATGAGAAACCCCTCACACCCGCCAGTGTCCAAGGAGGCCATTACGGGAACTGGGACTAACACCTGTACCTGGGAGTAATGAGGCATCCCTCTCCTCCACCGACACAGTGTTAGGGGAGGTCTGGAATACAAATAGGATCTTTAAATAAGCTCCAGAGTCTCATGATAAAATACCCACAATGTCCAGGATACAATCTCAAATCACTCGTCATTCCAAAAACCAGGAAAATCTTAACATGAGTGGGAAAACAATCAATAGATGCCAACCCTGAGATGACACAGAGATTGGAACTATCTGATAGGCTTTTAATGCAGCCATCATCAAAACGCTTCAACAGACAATTATAAACATACTCAAAATATTTTTTTAAGTCACAATAAAGAAATAGAAAGCTTCAGCATAGAAACACAAGATATAAAGAAAAACCAAATGGAAATCTGAGAACTGAAAAATACAATTACCAAAATAAAAACTCACCAAATTGGCTCAACAGCAGAATGGAGACCACAGAGGAAAGAATCAGTGAACTTGAAGATAGAAAATGAGTTATTTATAAATGAAATAATTAATATGATGTTAATACTGATGTGTGTCTAGATGTCTAAAGACTTGGGTTGCAGGTATGGCATTATCCAATTTCTTGCCAAATGTCCTGGGAATTATTCTTGTTAAGTCTCTGTTCTCTCAACTTTAAAATGAGATAGTAAAAACTGCCCTGGCTACTCTACCTGGATCTTAAATCCAATGTTTCTTGAACATTCACTAGTATTTTTATTCATTCATTTATCAAATATATATTGAATGCCTAATATGAGAACTGCTATAGTAGATCCTAGGACTGTAAGGAGAATATGACATTGTTTCTGCTATAAGGTAGATTACAGTATAATGAAGGAGACATATAAGTACACCAATTGTCAATACAGTGTGATAAGTACCATGGCAGACATATGTGCATAGGGCTTTGGATCTGCTTGGGGGAGGGTGGTGGTAAAGGTAAAGGATAGCCACAGAAAAAGCAGCTGACTGGACTCAGGAATTACAAATTTTGTAATTCATTGAAGCTGAAATGTGGGAAGCTGGATGGGGAGAAACAAAGCTGAGATGAATGGGCTTTGCATGCCATTGGAAGATACATAGTTTTTATTCTGAACTTCATGGAACAGTATTAAATAACTTTGAGCACTATTTGGTATGAGAACATTTACACTGAGGGAAAATATTCTTTAAAAACTTTTTTTTTAATTTGAGTATAGTTGACACACAATGTTACATTAGTTTCAGGTGTACAACATAGTGATTGAACTTCTTTATACATTATGCTGTGCTCACTGCAAGTATAGCTACCATCTGTTACTGTAAAATGCCATTATAATATCAACTGTATTCCCTATGCTATGCCTTTCATCTTCTTGACTTATTTGTTACATAACTGGAAGCCTGTATCTCCTACTTACCTTCATCCATTCCCCCACCTCCTTCCCTCTGGCAACCATCAGTTTGTTTTCTGTATTTATAGGTCTGATTCTCCTTTTTGTTTGTTTATTCATTTATTTTGTTTTTAGATTCCACATAAGAGTGAAATCATATGGAATTTGTCTTTCTCAGTCTGACTTATTGAGGAAAAACATTCTAATAGCATAGGAGATGACTTGAGAGGATGGGCTGAGGCCTGAGGCAGGGAGATTAATTAGGAGGCAGTAATTCTAACCCAGGTTATCAATGAGAGAACTGAACATTTACGGAGATTAACGTGATGTTACATATGGCCGATTGAATGTAGAGAATGAGGGATCAAATCTGACTCTGGGGTTTCTAATTCAGGTCCCGGGGGTTGCAAGGTTGTTCCTTGAAATATGGAAAACAGGAGAAGGGGAGGGTTTGCATTTGGGATGGGGCAGTGGGTTGAGGTGGGGTGAAAATGACTATAGTTTTGGACATGTTATTCTTTCCAAATAGAGATTTTGTTGGGTGGGAAAAATTTTTTACTGTACCCCTCTAGGTTCTTTTGGCTGATCTATTAATTAAATTGATGTAATTTGAAATTAATGAGAAAAACTAATTTCGAATGTATGGGAGCCTCACACAGACATGAGAGAGTCGAATAGTCAGACTACTGAGGCTTATATGGCATCCTGAGCTAAGGTGAAGGGGGTAGGGGCCTAGAGCTTCAAAGGGAAGGAAGACAATTCACAGGAAGATGGAAAGAGCAAATGTTTTTTTGCAGAGACCATGGGACATAGAGAGGAATTGGAACAAATAAGCCCTGCCAAGCCCTCCCCCCACAGCCTACCATGCTTAGCCCATACCCTTTGTAGTTACCTTTGGTGATAGATCTTTTCCTGGACCAGGCCATCTAACTAAATTCTTAGAAGCAGTTAAGGAGGGGGGAGGCTAAAGGTCTTCCTGAGTCTTTTGGGCCTTGATTGTCTTCTGCTCAAAATAATCCACATGTCAAAGTAGCATGTTTTAAGGATGCTCATTCTGAAACCCTTCAATGTCCAGCAGACTGGCTATAAGGGTCCAGAAAGGAGGTCAGGACTGGAGCTAAAGATGGAAGTTGAAACCATATGAGTATAAAGATTACCCAGGGAGTGTATGCAGAGTGAGCCAAGGGATGGATATGGAACCTTAGGAATCTTGGTCAAAGATTTGACAGAGGAAAAAGATTCCATGAAAGGTATTGAGAAGGAATAAGTAAAGCGGTAGGAGAACAGTCAGCAGATGATAAAGTGAATTCTTCCTGTTCTTTGGTATTGAGGGGGCCCCTTTTTTTGTGCACTGTCATGAGCATAATTAATTATTGGGCACAAAGTGTGGTAGAGTAGAACTTGTAGATAAAAAAAGAGAATGATGACAAAAACATTTGCTCTTCCAGCAAGCCAATATTCCAATATTCTGTTTCAGAAACAGAAACAAAATAAAAAAAAAATAGAAATAAATATTTTTGTGGGAAAATCTTATAAAACATCTTCCCTTATTTCTGCCACAAAATGTTAAGCAAGCTACCTTTTTTTCTTGGCATATTAGCTAATTATGGCCACATTTATGCTGCGTATCCAGTAACTCTAAAAATGTCCAAATCTAACACATTCAGCAGTTGTTTCCATGTATCTCTAGGTTGTCATGGGTCAGATGATCCAGGATGGGCATGACTGGAAACGTGGCTCCAAGACATACTATCTGACTCGGTTGGGTTCCCCGCTTTTTTTGGGCTCTACTCCCACCTGCAAATAGCTGCTTTGGGTAGGAGGCTGAGGAGGCAGCTGTAATACCGGGAGGCTCTTCTGGAGGAAGTAGAGGTGAAGGTGAATGAGCCCAGCTGTACAGGTGCTTTCAGGCCTCTGCTGATTCAGCAAAGCATGCTCCCACGGATGAACCCACATGGAGGTGGGGCCAAGGGGAAGAGACAATATTTTTGAACAAATATCGAACCTATCACACTTGGCGATTAAGAATCTTCACGTTAATTACTTTCTGTGCTGTGCTATCAGGTAGTCATATTCCGACTATTGAAGTGTGGAGGGTCATTTGACCCTGATTAAGTGATCCCTCCTCCTGCTGAGTTCTGTATGTGTAATTTCTTAATACCGCCACTAAATCTATAGCTGCTTTTAATTCACTGCCTCATTTCACACAGGGCTTTTTGAGTGAAGACCTGAAGGTGATCCTCTGCTATCTGACAAGACTTTTTCTTCTTGCATCAATGTTTTTTTTTTTTTTCTTGTTATTTTGCATTGTTGCAATATTTGCTAATCTGACATTGGGACAAATAGACCACTGCTGTATTTGAATGCTTTATTCTAATCCCCTCCTCCTAAACAAGTGGCACATGCAAAGCTTTTTCTTTTGGAAAAATGAGATATATTTCCTTAAAAAGTATCTCCATCTATCTACATGATATCCGTATTTCCACAGGAAGGCATTGATCAATTAGCAGATGAAAAGCACTAAATTGCAAAGGCCTTTGAAAAAATTAATTAAAATTTTATATGCATGTCCATTCTTTATTCAAATTATGAAACATCTCGAAAACGCAAAAAAAAAAGCAGAACAAAGCTTATCTATTCTTTGTGCAACTGGAGGCATCACACTTAGTTGATGCAAAAAAAATGTATATATAAATAGCTCTTTTAAAGAATTGAATTTTCCAGTAAGTTTGTCTTTTTACAGCATATACCCAAACTCAGTACACATCTACCATTTGTTCTCTCAGCCTAATGTTTGCTTGGCCTGCATTGCTCTTACATACAATTCATTTCATCCATGTAACCTAGATTATTTTGGTGCTTCATACTTTAGTTTCGTCCTAAGCAATTAAATCCACAAAGTTATCCCCTTGAAATGTGAGGTATATTTTTTTCTAGTGCACATCAAAATAAATACATATTTATTAAAATAAAGATGTCCCTTCTGGGGGTACGTGGGTGGCTCGGTCGTTAAACGTCTGCCTTCGGCTCAGGTCATGGTCCCAGGGACCTGGGATCGAGCCCCACGTCTGGCTCCCTGCTCAGTGTGGAGTCTGCTTCTCCCTCTACCCCTTCCCCCAACTCGTGCTCGTGCACTCCTTCTCTCTCAAGCAAATAAATAAAATCTTAAAAAAAAAGATGTCCCTTCTGTACCATCTTAAATACCTACTTTGTAGACATCACTATCTGGCATACTATGCATGGGGAAACACTTTTAAGGGCAGTGGTACCAAACTAGAAATATAGAAACTGGTTAAGCAATAATACATTTTGGAAAGAATTATTGACACTTACCTTCCAATTTTTCAGGTTTGTGGAAGGAATGCTTAACATTTGTTACAATGCCATCGATCGTCATATTGAAAATGGTCAAGGAGATAAGATTGCTATCATCTACGACAGTCCTGTTACAAACACTAAAGCAACTATTACCTACAAAGAGGTTCTGGAGCAGGTAATATCATAAATGTTCTGTATATGTTATTTGGAAATCATATAGAAATTACTTAAATAACCTGCATTCACATTGTGTAACCTTTACTTCACTTAATTCATTGACCTACATTACTATGGTTTCCTTTTGATGCAAATTGGAAAAACTAGAGATATGTTAACTCATTTAGATAGATAGCTTTTATCCCTTATATTTGTATGTTTCAGTACTGGAAGAGACTCATTTTACAGCGAGGACTTAGCAAGCCTCTAAGAATATGTGTAAGTCCTCTCCTGACCTTTGCTTCCATCTACTTTGCCATCACGTCAGTCCAGCTACTTTTCAGCTCTCGCAGTAGCGAAGCAGCCTCCCAACTTCCCCACTACCAGCCTCCCCTCCTGTTGGATCGCTACCTAACATGACACCGGAGTTTCCTCCTTAAGAACGACTAGTTAAAAACCTTTTCCTTAAAAATTGCTATTACTTAGAGAGTAAAATCTGTACCCCCAGAATGTAGAAGCCATTTGTAATGAAGCGTTTCCCAGGCTTCATTTCCAGACCTTCTTGGCCATGCACACAACCGTTCTTCATCTTGGTTGTCCCGTCATGCCCTCTGGCACTCCTCGTCCTTTACAGGTCTTTTTACACACTGTGCCCTTCCTTCATTTGCTCTTTTTTCTTGTTTATTTGTTCTTTCCCATCTGTGTAGTTCTTGGGTGAATCACAATATTGACAGATGAAGTACAGGATTTTTTTTTTTAACATTAGGGTAGAAATGAGGTTTCAGAAGCAATTATGAATGTATTTGGGTATTGTGGACTGTGCAACATGTATTCTAGCTCCGTGGGGGCATTTATTTACATATGATTTAAAGGGAGATAAAAGCATAGGGAAGGGTTTCTACTTTGATGGTATTGACATTTTATTTTTATTTATTTATTAATTTAATTAATTAATTTAGAGAGAGAGTGGGGGGAGGGGCAAAGGGAGAGGGAGAGTGAGAAAGGGAGAGAAGCAGACTCCTCATTGAGCATGAAGTCCAACACAGGGCTCCATCTCACAACCCTGAAATCATGACCTGAGCCAAAACCAAGAGTTGGATGCTTAACCGACTGAGCTACCCAGGCGCCCGACACTATTGACATTTTAAGCCAGAGAATTCTTTGTTATGGGGTACTGTTATGTACGCTGTACGGTGTTTAGCAGCATTCCTGGTCTTTACCCATTAGATGCAATAGCTCACCTCCCGTAGTTGTAATGACCAAAAATGTCTCCAAGCGTTGCTGAATGTCTCCTGGGTGGCAAAATGGTTTCTAGTTGAGAACTACTGGTTGAGCAGAGTTGGTTTTACTAGGGTTTAGAAGCATTTGCTTTTAGTATATGTGCTGCCGAAGCGAGCACGAAGCATTTGCTTTTAAATTAAGGCTTTTGAAAGCACATTCTCTTCTTTTGCTTTTTTAACCTACTTAGGGTTTGTACTGGATTTTTAGAAAATTTGGTCAACTTACCTTGACTCCCTGAAATTATATCCTTTTGCATCAACAATGTTCCTATTTAGACTTCTAAGAGATTTCAAAAAAAGCAACTGGGACAATCCAATGTCTCCATCCTGAGTTGTTGCAAACAATCAAGAGAGAAATTTAAGCCAGTTTTGCTCAAGCTGGGTATCAGCCTGGTTGTATCAGTGAATGCTGGATTCTGCTGATTTAAACATAAGAGGAATTCATGAAAAGGGAAGACTAAAGAGACAGGTTCAGAAAAATGACACACCCCAAGGGAGAAGGGGCAGAGGTAAAAATTTAAGGAGAACCCACACATTGGTAACTAGACTTGCTGACTTGAGTTAACCCCCTAGACTGACATAGTAGGAATACCTAGTTGGCCAATTTTAGGTTACATGCCTAAAGTACCAGTCAGTGGAGGAAGAAATGTCTTCTCTTCTTTTGATTTCATAGTAGGAATTGGGGTCCTAGCTCCTTCTAGGACTCATACTGGGGGAATTCCAATCCAATAAGAAGGGAGTTCAAATGTTAGGCAGCCCAAGACAGAACAAAATAAAATAATGCCACAATTATACTGTTGGGTACTTTGTATTGGTCTATAAGTGTGAACTCTATTTTCAGAATGAATTATACAGAAACAGAGCTCACACTGGGGCTGAGGAGAGAAAGAACTCCATTAGCAAACGACCTTGTTTTTCATCTGAGGCCACGTTTTATTATAAGAGATAATGTAAATTTCCTGATAACCTGCTGTACCCTGTGTTTTATTTTAGGTTTGCATTTTTGGCTTTTAGATGAGGGTTTGTCTATGATTAAAAACTTTACTCCTCTGATTTGGGTGTATTGTCACAGCTTCATTTTATTAATATTAAGGCCTAAGACACGGGTGAATCTCAATTAGCATACAGATTAGGATGCTTACTTATATATTTCCAAATATTATCTATACCAATATTGAATTTGACACATAACCATCAGAACCAAAGAGAAAGCTTTAGAGAAACATAAACTAAGGAGAGTTAAATAATTTGCTGCTTTTTGTAAATCAATTACGTAAGTATATATGGTAAAGACATACACATTTTGCTTAGAAACATTTCTGCTAACTCATCTTGATTTTCTAATATTGAGTCTAGACTCTTAGACCCTTTTGAGGTTTGTGCTGGTTCATTGGTTTCAGTTTAGCCTGACATCAAAGTACTTAAAAGTCCTGTTTCTCTCACCTGCTGACAGCTTCTGATTCCCCAGGCTTTTCTTCTCTAAAGTACTAAAGGAAGACGTGTTAGGAAAGAGGGAGGCATTGTGCTCCGCTTTGATTACCTGCTCCCGGTTCCCTGTGGCCTTTATTTTATTAAGTAGAGAAGACAGAGAAAGAAAGATTTAATGGTAATGCCACTGAGAACAAACAAAGAGAAGTGGCTTTGTACTTGTTTTAATCTCCCCTGTCTCATTTCTACTGGGAGTTTCTGACTAAGTAAAACTTAATTAAGTTAGTTAGCATTTCTTATTTAATTAGGGGACAGACACATTTTAGGATAAATTGTTTCAGTGACATGAAGGATCTGAAGATTTTACAGAATGATTCAGAAGTAGAGCTTTTCCAAAACTGTCACCTTTTATGTAGATCTGATAATTTAAACAACCCTTTATTAAGAATTTCTGGAGAGAGATTTGAGCCAGGTTCAAGATCCATTGTTCATTCATTCAACAAATGTTTGTTTTATATGCCAAACCCTGTTGGGAACAAGGGATACAAAGTAAATGCACCCATTCCCTAATTTTAAGGAGCTAAGCCCCTGCGTAACTGTAATAAAGGTTATGTTAGAGGGAAGTATTATGTTCTGTAGAAACACATGGGAAGGCATGCAGCTCAGCCAACTGTTAATACAGCATAGAAAGGCTTTCTGGAAGAGTCAATGCCTAAAATTAGCCCAAATGACCAGAAGTGGGAAGGGAAATCATGGGAAGGAGTGTCCTGCAGACACAAGGAATAGCTCATACAGAGATATTCAGGGAAGGGAGAATCCAGTGCCTCCCCGGTGGCTTTGGCATAAAGTACAAGCACGAGTGATTAGCGAGATAAGGCTCCAGTGAACCAGACTCCCAGAATTCTGAGTGCCACACTACAGATTTGTACTTTATCCTGAGAGCATGGAAAGAAAAAAACAAAAAACAAAAACAAAGGTCCTCCCTGTGACCTTTGGTTCTGCATGATCAGCTCCTGTGACTTATTCCCTAGTCCCACTGTACTACACTGCACACCCCAGCCTCAGTGCATTGCACATCCCAGCCCCACTGCACTGCACACCCCTACGCCCCTGCACTGCACACCCTGACCCCACTGTACTGCACACCTCAGCCTCACTGCACTGTACACCCCAACCCCACTGCACTGCACACCCCGACCTCACTGCCCTGCACACCCCAGCCTCACTGCACTGCACACCCCAACCCCACTGCCCTGCACACCCCAACCCCACTGCACTGCATACATCAGCCCCACTGCACTGCACAACCAACCCCTCTACACTGCACATCCCAGCCCCACTGCACTGCACACCCCGATTCCACTGCACTGCACATCCTGACCCCACTGCATTGCACATTTCAGCCCCACTGCACTGCACTCCGATTCCACTGCACTGCACACCCAACCCCTCTACATTGCACATCCCGACCCCACCGCACTGCATACCTCAGGCCCACTGCACTGCACACCCCAACTCCATTGCACTGCACACCTGACCCCACAGCACTGCACACCCCAGCCCCACTGCACTGCACACCCGACCCCACTGCACTGCACACCCCAGCCCCACTGCACTG